CTGTGCCCAGGCTAAGTGTGCGTTCTGCCCACTGAGCTTCACTCCCAACTCTCGGCATTTTCCTGTCTGTCCCTTTTGGTTTCACCTTGTTGAAAAATGTGCTGTTGTGGGTCTGTGGTGTCATTTTTTAAAACTGAGGTTGATCCCAGGGTTCTCGGGTATTTGCTCTGGGAATGGGTACATCCTATCACATTTGTGTGACCACACTTGTGATGAGAAGCTTTCTATCCCTAGCTAGGGAGCAGCTCAGTGGTAGAGCTCTTTACTGTACAGTTTCTGGGTTTGATGCCCAGCCCCAAAAGAAAAAAATCTTGGGATTAGCAACTGTCTCAGAGAATTCCAATTATTTATTAAAATCATCTTAATCTTTGATGTCCTATGGGATAAACTGTCGATGCATATACATGCATACATACATACATACACAATACATACTGGTTTCTGTGGGTATGCATGTGTTTGTGGGTGCACACACATCAGAGTGCATGGAAAACACACACTGATATCAAGCATCTTACTCTATTGCTTTCTACCTTATTTTTTTCTGTTATCTTTGTGTGTGTGTGTGTGTGTGTGTGTGTGTGTGTGTGTGGTGTCTACACAAGCAGGTGTGCACATGTGCATAGCATGTACATGCACACAGCTCAAGTGTGGCAGTCACCTGAGGGTCAGTCTTAGACTTCCACCTTTTCTGAGACAGCTCCTTGTCTCAGATAATCATGCTTGAGCACTTTGAGCCACAGAGCCATCTCTCTAGCCCTCTACCTTACTTTTTAAGTAAAGTTCTCTCCCTGAGTCTGGTGCTCACCTGTATAGAAGCATGCCACTATACCTGGCTTTTTCATAAGTGCTGGGGATCCAAACTCAGGTTTTTAACTTTACTGACTAAAACATCTCCCCAGCCCCCGAGAAGTTGGTATGGAACACCTCCGCCACTGCCGCCACTACCACCAAGAGTTTTTATGGACTTTTAGAATTGTCTTCTTCATGCAGGTTTACCCATTTCTGCTTTGTAACATGGGAGGAGAGTGCTGTGTGCTGTCTGTGGATAAACTTCATGCCCCTTTCCATTCCAGAACTCTGCCCGCTCATCCCTGTTAACTCACCCCTCACTCACCCCCCTCTCACTCATCCCCAAATTCACCCCCCACTCACCCTTTCAAAGTATTCTCCCTCCTAGAACCTGTGAAGTTGATTTCTCCAAACAGCCAAAGCACTGTATCTTTCAACAGATTTCAGAAAGTCTCTAGTTCCTGCCTGGCAGCTGGCTCCCTCAGTACTTAATTGGCAAGCCCTTGGTTTATAAGTGACAGGAAATGCTCCTTTCAGAAATGCTCAAACAGTGGGGAAAGGAAAAATTGGCAGCTAGTGAGCCAGGCAGGAGCTGGCGCTGACGAAGTGCGTGCAGTGTCTTAGCTGGCCATGTTGGCTGCTTGCAGTTGGGTTGGCAGGAGTAACCCTGTGGGCTCTGTCTTCACACTTCTGGTAGCTTCTTTACACTCTTCTGAAGGCTCCAAGATGGCAGTGTGACCTTGAAGTGGCTAACTTTCTGGTTTGATGGGGGAAGAAAGATGAGCGAGTTCTTTGTGGGTCAGCAGAGGTGGAGCCTCTAAGAAACGGAGTTGCTGTCCTGTTCTTAGGTCAGGTAGTGTCTCTTAGTCCGTAAGATTTTCATCATGGGTGCAGTAAACATTGCTAAGAAAATGAATCACTGCACCATGTGAAGCCTTGGTTTACTTCCTTTAAAAAAAAAAAAAAAAAAAAAAAAAAAAAAAAGCTCCAGTATTTTGTTCAGGTCATAGAGTTGAGTAAACTTGGTTTCAGTTCCAGACCCAAATCTACTTAAAAACAACCCCTCCCTCCCCCAAGTACCTATCTTACACGCCAAAGGAAAACACTGGCATCCTGCCAGGTTCCTGGAGGCTGATCTCTTGGCTGCCAGGCACGTCTCCTTGCCTTTGTGATGCCTGAGATTTTGTTCCCTGCAAAGTAAATACACTTAACCTCACTGTTTGCTGTTGCTTGTATCTTCTCGATAGCGGTGATTAGGAATTATTCGCTGGCAGACTTGGGCCAGTTACACAAGCTTTCGGCCTCACAGCTTTGTTCTCGTTATTTCAAGACACAGCAGAGCGCTTGCCAAGAGTCCGAAGGAAGCTTTGCCATAGGCATCTGGCAGCAGTCCACTGGGAAGCAGCTTGCCCCCTGTGACTAGCCTTCACCCTCAAAGAGTATCCAGTAAGGGTCTCCTACGTGTTCAAGACCGTGAGCTTAAACTCAGGGAGTGTGTCAGAAGGCAGGGTGATGCTGAGAAGGGCTTCTTTAAATCTCAGAGGCTAATTAAATCTGTAGGTAGAAGAGCCTGTGCCCCTCCTGTCTGCTATTCAAAATGGAATCCTGTGCTTATCTAGTTCAGATCCTGAGAACATGGCTTCTCACGCTGAATTCCATATGAGAACACGCTGTACCAGACAGTCAAGTGGACAGACGTTTCCATGAGCTGCCTGTGTCTACAGAGGAAAATTCCCTTGTGAAATAATTTATGGCCAACAAGATGGCCAGTGGGGATGGAAGTGGAGCCAGGGGAGCTGGGTGATGTTTGCATGGATGATGAGACACTGAAGTTGCTGTCGCCAACCGTGTGCACGCTGACCATTGGTCTGCAGCGCCATCTCCTGCACGGAAAGCACAGTCGCTTCAAGCTTGGCTTGTTCTGTTGGGCAGGTCCCCAGGCTGCTGCTGTCATTGCATCACAGGACATTCAGTCCATTCAGCATGGACTCCTCACAAGTCACACTTTCTGCCGCTGTATTGTATCATAGTCATTTTAGCTGTTTCCTGCTAAGAATTCCTTTTCCTAAGCTGAGGGGGAGGAGACAATTCTGTGAAATCTTACCAACTCATCTGTGGTTAAATTTCTTTTTGCAGACAGCTTCTTCTGCCTCTAGAGATGTAATCCTGTTAACCTTTTCTTGAAAACTCAAATGCGTACTCTCCTTCAGGAGGTTACTCATCTTTCTCCCGCGCTGTAGTCTGTTCCTTCAGGGTTGGTTGCTGTTTCATGTGCATGCTTGCACGTATGTCTGTGTGCCACGTCTGTACAGTGCTCACAGAGGTCAGACAAAGGGGGTGGATCTCTTGGAACTGGAGTTACAGATGGCTGTTAGCCATGTGTATGTGCTGGGAATTGAACCTGGGTCCTCTGGAAGAGCAGTCCGTGCTCTTAATAGCTGAGCCATGGCTCTAGCCCCCATTATATATTTTAAATTTTTTTCTTAAGTGCAACAAGCTCCAAAACAATAGTTTATCCTAACTATGGATGGCAAAGGTGTTAGGCAGGAAAATGGGATGTTTAAATAGGAATAGAAAAGTCATGTAAGCTCAGCCACGAGCAGCAGCTTCCCGAAGCCTGGTCTTCCTCCTCCATTTCAAATTCTTGGACTCTTCCGACATCTTCATGGCCCAACATGGTACCTGTGGCCCCTTCCCCAAGACCCTTTTGGTGGCTCTTAGTTAGGGTTCTGTTATTATGAAGAGATACCGTAACCATGGCAATTCTTTTTGTTTTGTTTTGTTTTTTGTTTTGTTTTTTCGAGACAGGGTTTCTCTGTGGTTTTGGAGGCTGTCCTGGAATAGCTCTTGTAGACCAGGCTAGTCTGGAACTCACAGAGATCCACCTGCCTCTGCCTCCCGAGTGCTGGGATTAAAGTCGTGTGCCACCAACGCCCGGCTACCACGGCAGTTCTTACAAAAGAAAGCATTTAGTGGGGGCTGCATTACAGTTTCGGAAGTCTGGTCCATTATCGTCACGGCGAGAAGCATGGCTGCTGCAGGCAGACATGGTGCTGGAGAGGGAGCTGAGAGTTCTCCATTTGGATTGGCAGGCGGCAGGAAGAGAAAGTGCCACTGGGCCAGGGTTGGCCTTCTGCAACCTCAGAACCCAGCCCCCCAGACACAGTTCTCCAACAAGGCCACGCACCGTCTCATAGTGCCACTGCCTGACCACCACAGTAGCTAATGTTCAAATCTTCCTGGGACACACCTCTGTCATTAAACGGTAAACAGAGAATAAGGCAGGAGCAGGGACCCTGCTTCATCGGGACTCTCATTCCACCACTGGTGTTGCACCTTGCAATGGCCTTGTGACCAATTCAGTCACTGAGCTGTCTCTGAGTGACCATGGCCTTCAGCCCTGTGCATGACCTCTCAGAACTTAGCTTTCAGAGTGGTTTCTGATTCACATAGGATGCCAAGGAGGGCGCAGAAGTACATGGAAGTGTCTTACTTACAGGGTTTTGTTTGTTTGTCTTTGTTTTTTTTGGTTTTTTGGTTTTTTTTTGTTTTTTACTTTAAATGGGTTTCTCTTAGTTCTGTGTTATGTGTGATAAGTGTGGGATGTTTATGGTATTTGGTGTGGTTTGTAATATGTAGGAATTTTCCCCTTAGAGTCATTTACTCTCTGTGTTTGAGGGGTGGTGCATGCCTTTAATCCCAGCACTTGGAAGGCAGAGGCAGGTATAGATCTCTGTGAGTTCAAGGCCAGCCTGTACTCATATATAAAGAAACCTTGTCTCGGAAAACAAACACCCCCCCTCCCCCAGAAAGGAAATAAAGCCCGTGGTTGGATTTAACTCAGTGGGAGAGTGCTTGCCTAGCAAGCACAAGCCCTGGGTTTTGTCCTTGACTCTGGAAAGCAGAGGAAAGCAGGCAGGTGGGCTGGCTGGCCTGCCTCCAGTCTGTCATTTGTACCCTTCACCGCTGTCCAGTTTGTGATATGTCGTCTGAAAGCCACCTTGGATATAGGATATGTGGTTAAATGTCTAAAAAAGAGGCAAATCGTCTGTAATTCAGTGAGATTTTGAAGTTTAGGAAGATGTTTAATGACAGTTGCTTGATTGCAGTTTCCCTGTGACCTTCCTAGTTCTCCTGCTGAGGTGAGGGGGTCAGTGATTTCTCTGGTAGCCGGCGAGCATTCACACCCTGGCTTTCTTCCTCTACAGCAGTCGGAAACGGAGACTGTGCACCTGTTTATCCCCGCCCTGTCAGTTGGCGCCATCATCGGCAAGCAGGGCCAGCACATCAAACAGCTTTCTCGTTTTGCAGGAGCTTCGATCAAGGTACTGTTCTGCACACTCGCTCTCCTGATTACACAGAAAGTGAAGGTAGCAGGCTGAATTGGGCTTAGATAACCGTATGACAGGAACCCTACAGCAGTGGGTTAAATGTGGCGAGATAACCTCTCTCCAGAAAGCCAGTCTGTGGAGAAGCAAAGCTGCACATCTCAGCGTCTCTGAGATCTTGACTTACTGCTTCCTCTGGCTTGTCTCCACGGTTAGTGCTCTTAAAAGCCACATCTGTCACCTGGCCATTGAGGACAGGCGGACATAGGAAAGTCTTTCTTATAAGGGAGTTGCCTGTTGGTTGCTATGGGATATTTTTTTTTGCCTATATTACATTCTTAGAACTTGGTCAGACAAAGCTGAAGGGGCAGCAGGAAAGTGGAGGTTTTGTGTTGTGTAGATGTGGGGCCACTGGTGCCTGCCATTCGAGACGGTCGTGCGCTCTGGAGATTCTGCACTTTGTTGTTCGGAAGCAACTCAGGGTTAGACAGAGGGGACTCATGCACACGTGCGTCCATGGAGGCCACGGCTTAATGTGTGCGTCTCCTCGGGCACACCTACTTTATTCTCTGAGTAGGTGACACTGACCAGCTTACTGACTCTGTGGGCTGCTTGGCCATGAGTTTCAGGGATCCTCCTGTCTCTGCTTTTTCCAGCTCAGGGCTGTTTTTGTGAGTGCTGGGGATCCAAACATTCTATCAACTGAGCCATGTGCCCAACCTTGGGTTGTTGCTTTAAAACAAAGGTTACCAGGCTTGTACACTCACAGCTTTCTCCAGGAAACAGTCTGTGAGAGCCTGTTTTTATGTTTTTAAGCTCCTTAAAGCTGGGCAGTGGTGGCGCATGCCTTTAATCCCAGCACTCGGGAGGCAGAGGCAGGTGGATCTCTGTGAGTTCGAGAGCAAGACCAAAGAAAAGCACAAAAAAAAAAAAAAAAAAAAAAAAACCCGTAAAAAAAAAAAAAAAAAAAAAAAAAAAAAAAAAAAAAGAACTCTTAAAACAAAACAAAAAAGGATTGAATACACTTTTCCTACAACATATAGATTCCAATTCTAGATATCTGTCCATGAGAAATGAAACATCATACCCTCCCCCAAAGAAAACTAGGTATTAACGGCATTTTTATTGGTACCAACCCCAAATGCCCTTCATGCAGATCAAATGTGATCCTCCGAGCAATGACTCTGCATATTAGAAACCACTGACCAATGTCGGAAAGGAAGTCCACACGCTGTACGGGTCCATTTACATGATGACTCTGGAAAAGGCATAGCTACAGGGACATGGGTGTGTACAGCAGAACTGCTCGAGGGGACTCCGGCAGAGTGATGCCTACTCTGAGACTTCATTGTGGTAATAGGTAGCCTGGTTATGTGTGTGTCAATCCATCAAACTGAACAACAGAAGATAAATTCTGCTGTGTGTAAATTAAATAAATTCTGTGTGTGCAAAACACAGAAACAGCCCTTACATACAGGACAGCAAAATCCAAGCAAGGAAATCCAGCTAAAATCAGTAAGTGGTATAGGCGTGGGAGCAATGAAGTGTGAACGTCTTTACTGCCTTGCTAGTTCTAGAGTTTTTGCAAATCAGTGTTTGACAGGCTGAGGTGGCTCAGCACATACTGCTGTTGTGGAGGATCTCAGTTCAGTGCCCAGCACCCACAGTGGCCTTTAACTTAAGCCTCAGGATCTGACACCCTCTTTTGGCCTCTATGGGCATCTGTACACCCCATCCCCCAACACACTTACATACACTCATCTTTAAAATCTTTGAAAATGTCAATCTGACACATGCTCGCTCACAGAGAGAGGAGAGAGAGAGAACTTAGACTGTGGGAGGTCTGCATTAAGAATTTCATGACCAAGTACCCACTGAAAGGTTCAGGCATTACGCTGGCCTGCCCCGTCACCTGGCAGAATCCACTCAGAATCCACTCCTGGTCAGCCCAGGGCTCCGTGGGAACTGAGTCTGCACACAGGTGTAGGGGATCCCTTTAAAAGACAGACCCTGCCCATTTACACTCTCTTTCCAGCCGTCGGCCTCTCTCCTCTTCCTTACTCTCTGCCTTGCTCTGTTCTTCCGTTTCTCTCCCTCTCGCTTTCCCGCCCCATAATAAACTATGGTTAATGAATCTCTTGTTCTCATGTCTCATCTTGCGCCTTTTTTCTAATTTAAGCAAAAGAATAACACCCACACTCATTTCTTCCTGCCTTCATGAGGTCTTCTAACTGGGCTGGAAAAATGTGTTTCCAGAAAGTCTGAAACATAATCTGCAAGATTGGCTGCTTCTTTGACTGTGTGGTATAGGGTTAGATATGGGTACCTCTACCTCCGTGTGAATGTCATTACACAGATACCGGGTTGGTTGGTTTGATGTATGTGTACACGGATGCAGGACCGCAGCTGCAGGGCACGGATAATGATTCACGGGACCAGGCTCAAATACAGGTTAAGTATGAGTTATCCCGGGGAGAGGTCACTTACACAAGCAGCAGATTCCCGTTCTAAGGATTTGCACAGACTGCTCCCTGTGACCCCACCAGACACAGGAGAGCCACCTCCCCTGACCCCCAAGCGTAACTCTCTCCCAGTCACGTCTCCCCTGTGACCACACCCAAACAGGCTGGTGCGGGCAGGGTGGGCATCACACTACACTGAGCCATCTTCCTCCATTGCTCTCTACCTTATTTACTGTCTTGGTACAGGGTCTCTCCCTGAACTGGAAGCCTGCGGTTTCCGATAAGCTGGCCAGCCAGTGTGTCTGCTGATCCACCTGTCTCTACCCTCTATGTGGGATTATTGGCACATGCAACTAACTGTGCCTGGCTTTTTACATGGGTGCTGGGGATTCAGACTCAGTACCAAGAAAGCTAGAGCTACCCAGAGATGTATGTATGTATGTATGTATGTATGTATGTATGTCAGTGTGAGTGCTCCTGGGTGTGTGTGTGTGTGTGTGTGTGTGTGTGTGTGTGTGTGTGTGTATGTATGTATGTATGTATGTATGTATGTATGTATGTATATATGTATGTGAGTGGTCCTGGGGTGGGTGGGTGTGTGTGTGTGTGTGTGTGTGTGTGTGTGTGTGTGTATGTATGTATGTATGTATGTATGTATGTATGTATGTATATATGTATGTGAGTGGTGTGTGTGTGTGTGTGTGTGTGTGTGTGTGTGTATGTATGTATGTATGTATGTCTGTCATCGTGAGTGCTCCTAGCCTTCACCCACTGTCATTGAGTGTATTTAAAACAACAAACCAGCTGGAATGCTAAAGAATGATGCCTTTAAGTATTTCCTGTGGACAATCCCTAGCTTGGACTAAATGCAAGGAACTATTTGCTTGTTTTTCAGATGCAAAACAAGTCAGTTCTCGGCATAAAGTAGGTTTAGGCATCAGTTTGGCTTTAGGTGACAGAAATGCTAGCTTTATTTTTGAAGGGAGCAGAAAGCAAGACTTGATTTACTGAAGTCTTTTTCTGGAAGACTACATCAAGTAATTGGCGGTGATGATCTTCAGCTGTAGAATTGGGCTGACTTGTATTTTTTTACTGCTGTTCTTACACAGTTTTACAATGTAACAACTAGGTTTTATTTGCAAGCAAATATGTAGCAACTGTCAGGGTCTCTCAGTGGAACCAGAGTTTATAGATCAGGCTGTCTTGCTCCCTAGGTTGATCTGGGGACCCATCTTTGACTCTCAGTGCTGAAGTTACAGGTGGGCATCCACACCCCAGTCCTTACCTCTGCACAGCGATGAGCCATCACCTCGGCCCAAATTTCATTAAAAGAACTCCCCAGCAGGGTCACCGTATCCTTCTTTGTGGCTCTGGGCATGCTGGCTCCTCTTCCTACACATTTTCCACTGTTTCTCCAGCCTGAACTTTTGTGATTTCATACACTCCATGAAACTGAAGTCTGAGTTTACTGTGTTAACATTAGTTAACTTCCTGTGTCCTTCCAGTAAGTAGACTTGAGAGCAATGTATTAACAGTCTCAGCAGCAAAAGAGTATACAAATAGTTTAAGCAATCCAGCCTCCAGCTCCCCATTTAAGTATGAGAAGCACGGGTTATCTTTCCTCTGAAAGCTAAGGGGATGCCATGGGTATAGTGACCTCACAACTCAGGAGTCCAGAGCTCTTATCATGTTACTACCAGGAGCCAGGTAGTAGGCACACCCAGCTCTCTCAAGGCTGTTAACTAGACAATTATAGGTCGGGCCCCTTAATGCCTTCAGCCCTCAGTGCTCACGTTGCAAAGTGATTATTCTTCAGGTAGATGTTGGTATGGGTTAGCTCAGTGAAGTACTCAATATGTCTGAGTGCCCCATGTTAATCACGGCCTCTCCATAATTCCTTTCCAGAAGGCATTTAATTCCACAGCTCAGTCAGTCATGTGCAGATGTCAAGCTGGTTGGCCTAAGGTTTGTCAATGACACCAGAAAGTATCCTAACTGGCTGCTGATGGGTCTGTTACAGATCGCTCCAGCCGAAGCACCGGATGCTAAAGTGAGGATGGTGATTATCACTGGACCGCCAGAGGCTCAGTTCAAGGTATGTGCTGTCGAGGGCAGGGGGAACCAGAAGATGCCTTCTCCACCCACTGCATCAGGGAAACTCTAAAGGTCAGAGTGGAGCCAAGTATGGCGTTGGTTTACTGTCACCATTAAGATGGTGGGACCTTAACGCTCGCATCCACAGCTGCCCGCTAGTGAGCCTTGGAAACCCACCTGTCTTCACCATTCCTTCTTAGAGATGCTCTAACCTTTACATTGGCCCCTTTTCTCTTAGCCTTCACCAGCACTGTCGTAGGATTTTAGTTAGCAAGACTGGAGTTACAATGGCATGTGGCCTGGCTTGAACTACTGCACGCTTACTGGTATCTGGGGTCCTTTGGAGCTGGAAAATCTCTATGTATTCTGAGGTGATGGAGACAACTCAACAGCTAGACCCTCATTGCAAATCCTAGTTTGGCCATTTACCATTTGTTTGACCTTAGCACAATCTCATGTGCTATGACTGGTGATGACCATTTTTAAGTTACATGTATTTTTTTATGGGAGGAGCATCATGGCACGCATGTAGAGGTCAGACAATAACTTGTGTGAGTCGGCCTTCTCCCACCATGCGGGTCCCAGGGATGGAACTCGGGTTGCTGGGCTCAGTGGCATGTCCTCGCCAGCGCCACACCCGTGTCTTGGTCCTGTGCCCACTAACAGCATTCACCCAACCTTCCTTGGTCTCTGCTGCCAGCACACACGGTTACACTGCCTGCAGCTCAGCTGGCCATCTCGACTTGGAGAGGGGAGAACTAACAGAGCCTTGCTATTGGAGTGCTCTGCCCCGGTCCGTAGCTCAGACCCTCTTGTGTTTTGCTTAAGCCATCCATTAAAGGATTGAGTCAGTGAACATCTAAAGCTGCTTTCACACATTTGCAGAGAAACTAGACCCCACACATGCTTTGATACGTGGAATGGCCATTTCCTAGGTACCAAGGTGAAGTTTACCCCTGCCAGCAGCCTCATAGACCAAGACTGGGCTATGAGTGTGATACTTTGTAGCATGTTAGAAACCACAGGCTTGATACCCACCACACATGCATGCACATATGGTACAGACATACGTGCAGGCAAACCACTTGTACACATAAAGATATTTTTTTTAGAAAATTTTATAGATCTTATTTTTATGCATATGGGTGTTTTACCTCCAAGTTTTATCTATCAGGTAGATGCCCGCAGAGACCAGGAAAGGGCATCGGATCCCTGGAATTCGTTACAGAGGGGTTATTGGCTATCATGTGGGTGCTGGGAGTCAAACCTGGGTCCTTGGAAGAATACCCAGTTCTCTTAACTGCTGTCTCCCCACCTCCACACCCCACAAAAAAATGAATGGACTGGAGAGTGGAGGTGAATTTTGTCTTTTCTCTAGTCCCCTCAAATAAGCGTAGCGTCTCTGCACCCATGAACATACAGCTATTTGGGCTTTTATGGTTTGTCTTAGCAGCTTGTCAGATTAGCCTAACTTCCCAACTTAGGAAGTGGGAAGAGACTTCTTTCTCGATTGAAGTGTATGAAAATAATTAACAGTCGCACAGGAGTGTCCGTACGTACACCATCTAGTTGTGCACACTACACAGGGCATGGTAGTGACACCATCTAGTTGTGCACACTACACAGGGCATGGTAGTGACACCATCTAGTTGTGCACACTACACAGGGCATGGTAGTGACACCATCTAGTTGTGCACACTACACAGGGCATGGTAGTGACACCATCTAGTTGTACACACTACACAGGGCATGTTAGTGAGTGCCGGACGTGTACACTAACTTGATTTCCGCAGCCTTTAGGGAGAGGGAGGAGGAAGGAGACACTGTGGCCCAGGCTGGCCTCAGACTTAGAGAGCAGTGCTCCCCCTCAGCCTCCCACAAGTCATGCAAGCATTTTTATCTCCATAAAGCTGAAATCACCTGAGTAAGAGAATGGTTTAAAGCTGGGCGGTGGTGGCGCACGTCTTTAGTCCCAGCACTCAGGAGGCAGAGGCAGGAGGATCTCTGTGAGTTCGAGACTAGCCTGGTCTACAAGAGCTAGTTCCAGGACAGCCTCCAAAGCCACAGAGAAACCCTGTCTCGAAAAACAAAACAAAAAACAAAAACAAAAAAAAAGTGTTTGTGCTGGCTAGTGTCTGTCTGTTCCATTTAGACATGGGCTTTTGTTCCTTGTGAACCTGGTATCCCTGACTATGTAGTTCTTTCCTAGTTTCTTTTGCTCAAGAAAAAAGCAATCTGTTTCTTACTGCCAGAGGAGAGGCTTTATGAGTGAGAATGGCCATTTTCCAAAAAGTCTTTTTTGTTGTTGTTTTTTTGTTTTTTCAAGACAGGGTTTCTCTGTATAGCTTTGGAACCTATCCTCAAACTTGCTCTGTAGACCAGGCTAGCCTGGAACTCACAGAAATCCACCTACCTCTGCCTCCTGAGTGCTGGGATTAAAGGTGTGCGCCACCAACTCCCGGTGCATAAAGTCATTTTTAATTAGTCCTACTAATTGCTTTTATTTGCAGCAGAATATGGCTTATTCTTTGTAGTTGGTGTGCAGAATGGGTCTCACAATGGCATCATTACAAACGCATCACTGTACTTTGCTCCCTGGTTTATCCTTTTGTCAGTACCTTGCCTAAGAAACAGTTACTGTCAACCCTCTCTGGGGCTCCTCGCTGCTGTCTGTTATGCAACTCTCAGTCTTCATCCCAGACATTGATATACCACTGCTCTGGATGTATATTCCAGACTGATTTAGGCTGCCTTCAAGGTTAACCGACCTTGTTTCAAGTATGAATGACACTGATAGGCTATATTGTCATCTGTAGGCTCAGGGAAGAATTTATGGAAAAATTAAAGAAGAAAACTTCGTTAGTCCTAAAGAAGAGGTGAAACTTGAAGCTCACATCAGAGTGCCATCGTTTGCTGCTGGCAGAGTTATTGGGAAAGGAGGCAAAACGGCAAGTACCCCAGCAATGGCTGCACCATACTGGAAGAGGGCACTGCACGGACATAGCTCCTCTCCGGAGCTTTGGCTGCTTTATGAGAAGTGGGCCCACCTTGCCCAGTGTTTGGAGAGGTTCCCTTGTAACTCTAACCTGTTAGTGAGACTTCTGCATATTTCAGACCAGGGACTTGCAAGGGGCGTCCCGCATTATTTGACACATATAACCTGAACTCAATTAAGTCATTTCCAGATTTATAACTTTGAAGTAACATAGAACACGCCCTGAGCAGAGCTGGGTTTCTTTGGCCAGGTCTTAGTTCTAGTCATATTCAAATGGGAACACAGTGAAAGGTTAATGGATGAAGTGAGTGTGCTATGTGTCTGGCATATAGTAATGCTTAGTGATGTGATTTTCTCTATCTCAGGTGAATGAACTCCAGAATTTATCAAGTGCTGAAGTTGTTGTCCCCCGTGACCAGACGCCTGATGAGAATAACCAAGTTGTTGTCAAAATAACTGGCCACTTCTATGCTTGCCAGGCAAGTGGCCTCTAAAACCCATTCCACATATGTAGTGACCCTCTTGGGTGCTTAAGGTTCAAAGTGTTGGGTGGGGTTGTTGAAGTCTGCTGGTCTGCTGCTCCCCAGGCGGCCTTGAGCTCCTAGGCTTCAGAGGTCCCCCATCCCTAAGTTTCTGTGCTCACACACTGTCCCTGGCTGTGCTTGGCACATCTGGTTTTCCTTTCGGCCAGTATTTCAGCCTGATGCTTAGAGATAGAGTAACTTGTAACTTTGGACTATGTGGATTCTACGAAGTCTATCCTTTTGTAGGTTGCCCAGAGGAAAATTCAGGAAATCCTGTCTCAGGTGAAGCAGCACCAGCAGCAGAAGGCTCTGCAGAGTGGACCCCCTCAGTCAAGGCGGAAGTAAGGGCTCAGGAGACAGCCACCACAGAGGCAGATGCCAAACCAAAGACAGATTTGCTTAACCAACAGACGGGTGCTGACCCATCCAGAATCACACGCACGGGCATTTCCCTAGCCGGTTGTTTCTGAGGACCAGGCAACTTGAACTCCTGTCTCTGTGAGAATGTATACTTTATGCTCTCTGAAATGTATGACACCCAGGTTTAAAAAAAAAAAAAAAAAAAAAAAAAAAAAAAAAGTGGGGGTAGGGAAAGAGAAGAGCTCCGCACTTCCCTTGTGATATCAAAGTACAACAAATGTGCTAATTTTTTACATCCTCTTTAATGCCAGAGATTGGCATAAATGGTACATTCACTAAATTCATCAAATAAATTAGAAAAAATAGTTTGGATCAAAGTAGAATTTCCACAGGAACGTGCCGTTAAGCCATTAGAGTAGAACTGTTGTTACCTGTCTCTCTAACACTAACATGGATAACCTAAGGGAAGTGCCCACCGCTGCGGGTGGGGTATTAAACGTGGATAACCTAAGGGAAGTGCCCACCGCTGCAGGCGGGGTATTAAACGTGCATTTTTAATCAACTACCTCAGGTATTCAGGAATACAGTTAAAAGCAAAATTATTCCTTTTTTGAAAATTTTATATACTTTATAAAGAAACTCCAACCGTTTTTTAAAAAAAATAAAATTTAACAGTTATCAGCTGATAGGCAAATAATTGAGAAAGGAATTTTACATCTGGCTGGTGACAGTAAAGTTGGAAAATTAATTTTGCATTTTTTGAGCCTTTTGACAATAGTTGGAAAGTCCAATAAATGTTCAAAGATTTGGAGCAGTGCCTATTCTCGGAGAGCAGCAATGCCATGTATTCCTTTGTCTATAGTTGGGAAGGCTGATGTACTAACAGCAGAGTGGTGGCGGGTTTTGGAATGGCTAATCTAGAAAGAGCTTCAGAAGACTTGGATTTGTTTTAGCTATGTTCATGAATGCATAAATGCTTTGTCACTATCTAAAGGAAACACGTCACTGAAGAAATGCAGAATTTAAACAAAATCAGCTTGAGTTTGTCTCACAGGATGCTCAGCTTGCTAACACACGAACGAGATCAGGTGATACGGTGAACAGACACCAAGAGAACTGCTTTGTGGAGACCGGGGGCAGTCAGGTGGTGTGCCGGTGAAGGCAACAAAAAGCTCTGTCTCCTTGTGCTAGGCACTGTCATGGAAGATTTTTTTATGCAGTGGAAGTCAGTCCACTGAAAGTATTATCTAGAATGTAGCAGGGTTTCTGTATACCCTGCTCACTTGACAGTAAGTACAAGTAGGGAATGCACCAAATGGTTTTGGTTTGAAAAGATCTGTGAAAACACCTAACTGTTGAAAGGAAAACCCTTTGCCCCTTCCCTCACTTCCCTCCCTGTGGGTGGTCCTCAAGGCCATGCTGCTCTCTGAATTGTTTTTGTTACTTTGTTCTAAGGTGGTTACAGTCTGATCACACTGGCCTTGAGGGCATTATGTAACCCTTCAAAAAGTCATTTTGCCTCATTTGTATTTCAAGATTAACTTTACATGTTTCTTTTTTGTGAACATCAGCATATCATTTAGGCATTATGAAAATGATTTGAAATGTTTTCCGAAAAATTTTCATAAGACCAATTTATTTTGTAGTTTTAACCAAAAAGTGCCCCTTTTACAACTGAATTCACCTAACATTCATATTTTTTTCATACAATGGAGTTAAACTGATTTAAAAAAAAAAAAAAAAGTGATCGGTTCTTGTCTTTGGATTTCAGAGGAGATGTGTCTAAGGCCAGAACACTGCCTCAGTATTTGGTTTTTACAGTTTTCTTTTTAAAAACTGACAGGTGCTACATTCATGTCTGCTGGTCTCAATTCTGCCATGCTCACATCTAGCCTTCAGAGTGGCAAATCATGTGTTACTTTCACTTAAACATTGGTGGTGTGGAGTACCTGGCACAAGGAGTAATCCTATAATTGAGTTTTGTATTCACCATGTACGGATCATTCTCATCTATAACGTGCCCCAAACGCAGCTTCGTTTTCCAGGTACCTTGATACAGAATAAAGTTTTCATCATAAGCCACAGCTTTGTGTAGCGTTTTCAGTTGTGTGTTCTTGAGTCTGTTTCTACCACACACTTCTTACACTAGACAGTGATCGACTGGGAAGTTGTTTGTCAGCCCTGTCTGGTACACAAAGGAGAACCTTGATTATCCTACTTATTATAGACTAATAACTACAGATTTGCTTGGCTTTTTCCTAATCATCGAAATAATCTGAACAGAGAATCTGAGTTAATCTTGGAGATCAGTACTAGGATCCTAACCCTGATAGGATCTCAAGAGGAAAGGCAGTGTGCTGAAAACTGGAATTGAATTACTGGTTCTTGGCCTGTGAGCTAGTTTTTATCTACAGTCTGCACAGCCGTCATCAGCATGAGTGTCCAAGGGGTTGAGTAGACAAGGCTAGAACCTGCACTTACAGATGGCTCAGACACATCTTAGGGATGAAAGGCATCACTTTGTTTATTCACATTTGAACTCCACTGGAGTCAGGATCATCTTCTAGTCCAAGAATGAAGTCTTCAGGTAATGTCTCAGCTGCTATCTGGGCTAACTGATCATCAAAAGAACGTAGAGTCCATAATTTCTCTAATTCGTAGGTTTCTCTGGTTTCTGGAAGCATCAAATGGATCACCATACTGCCTATCAAGAACAGATAAAAATTACAATGAATAAAATTAATTTGCTTGTATTTTTATCAATGCCTCTGTCCCTTACCTTGGACTTCTGGGCAGATGGTACATCCCTTCCTACAAAGTGATGCACATCTGCCACTTAGCATGGAAATGAGGTCACCATGTAGCATCAATGACTGGTCTGCCAGATTCCTTCCTGTCTCCCAGGTTTTACTTTTCTGCACATTTTGTGAGCAAAGGTTTCAAAGACAATAGTCTATCAGATAGGGCTCGCCTCCAGGACAAAGGACAATTCTGCTCCTAACAATGCTTGAGTATCTATAAACATCTTTGATTGTCCTAACTGGAGAGAGGGGATCGGATACAGCTAATAAGCACCCTGTTCTGCAGTAGTCTTGAAGATGTTCTTCAAGGCCACAACAAAAACATCTGACCAAAACATGAATGTGACAAAGCCCTGGTTACAGCCTTGCTGTTGCACAGCACAGCAAATGAGCCCTCTTCCTCCATAAAAGACTCTTGGTGTATATGTTATCTGGCTGCACAAAGTTTATGATGCTGGTTACTGCCATTGCTGTAAGAAACGAGCTGCTTTTTCAGAATGGTCTTCATGAAACTGGAAAGGCAACTTGTGACCTGGCTAGTTTCCTGTCAACTTGACACAAGCTATGATCATCTGGGAAGAGAGAACCTCCATTGAGAAAATGCCTCAAGATTGGGCTGTAACATAAGCAGGCAAGCCGGTAGGGCATTTAATTCGTGATTGATGTGGTGGTGCCATCTCTTGACTGGTGGTTCTATTAAAAAAAAAAAAAAAAAAAAAAAAAAAAAAGCAGGCTGAGCAAGCCACCAGTAAGCCCTAAGCAGCACTCGTTCTTGGCCTTTTCATCAGCTCCTGCCTCTAGGCTCCTTCTTGTCCTAGTCGCTCTTTTCAATGATCAACTGTTACATGGAAATGTCAGTGAGACAAATCCTTTTCTCCCCAAGTTGCTTTTGGTCACAGTGTTTCACCGCAGCCACAGTGACTATGACAGCTGGAAAGTAGGCTAAAATCTCAGATGCCTGCCTCCTGGCCCCAAGCAAGCAAGCATATAGCTGGCTATCGTTTCCCCTTAGTACTACAAATGTGACTGGGGGGGGGGGTTGAAACTGGCATATTAATACACCCATTACACATCTGTGTGGCCCCTTACATATATAGCATATAGTATGTCTTCTCTCAAGAGTTTACTATCCAGAGTACTTTGGTTAGGCAAAGCTTTCACATGTGAATGACACCACCTGAGCTATAATTAAATCAAACTTTTGTTACTTGAAACCAATTTCAAAAATCTTAATTTGCACACACCAGCCATCTTTTTGTAGCTGAAAACAAAGTTTAAATAATGGGTATGTATCTGTAAATTGCATTAATAGTAACTTACCAAAGTCCACACACAGCCAGTCATCAGCGTCCTTCCCTTCGATCTTGACATACGGATCACTTCTACATTTCAGGTGTTTATACTGGGAAAAAAAAAATTGGGTCATACATTTAGGGGAGAGTCTCTGCACCTACTTAGGACCTGTGAGTTTTCTAGGGCTGAATTTGGAAACTAGCTATTCATTTCTCACAGCCATCACGGGCAATTATGACTGCCCCATGATTCATAATTTACAGAAAATAATTTTATCCCTGAATCCTCTCCTCAGCTATATTTCTGTGGACTCAAATTGCCCAGGTCCTTCTAAGAAGGTCCCCTCACTCATCCTGAGTGCTAAGTACGCATCCCCCCCCCCCCCCCCCCCCCCCAGCTCCCCTCACTCTCTGGGGAAGCAGACCCTGTTTAAGACTAGGTCTCAGTACTGATTCCACACAAGCTTAGGATATGCTATAAAGCATTTTGTGTCTGATTTTCACCAAAGAACTATGGACATCAGTGCTCACCTGTTGCTGATACCATAGAAAACTGTTATAGAAGACAGGGAATTTGTTTGCTTGTTGAGACAGGGTTTCTCTGTGGCTTTGGAGGCTGTCCTGGAACTAGCTCTTGTAGACCAGGTTGGTGTCGAACTCACAGAGATTCACCTACCTCTGCCTCCCGAGTGTTGGGACAAAAGGTGTGTGCCACCAACGCCCGGTGAGACAGGGACATTCTAAGGACAAAGGCAGCTGAATGTGACCACACATGTTCTTAATTCAGGGAGGCTGAAACAGGTACTCAGGCTTTTTTATAGCAACTACTTTACTCACCAAGCCATCTTCCCAACCCTTCTCCACTTCTTACACAGGGTCTTGCTTTGTAGCCCTAGCTGGCCTCAGAACTGTGATCCATAACACTTACATAAAAAAGAGTGTAGCTGGGCTGTGGGGTCACACACCTTTAACCTCAGCACTAGGATGCAGGAAGATCTGAGTTCAAGGACAGCCTGGCCTACAGAGTGAGAACAGTCAGGGCAACACAGAGAAATCCTGTCTTGACAACCCCCCCTCCCCCCAAAGCAGAGTATAGCAGTGTGCACCTGTAACTACAGGCAGATCTCAGGGGCTAGTCAAGACTGAATCAGCAAATCCCAGTTTAGTGAGACTGTCTCAAAAAGTAACTTTGAGAATAGAGGAAGAAACTGGATGATGACCTCTGACCTCCACATGAACATAATTCCAAAGGCTAGTTGAGTGTGGTGAATTAGTTGGCAATCACAGCACCTGAAAGGCTGAGGCAAGTGGATCACAAGTTCAAGGCTAGCCTGGTTACACAAGGAGTCTGTCTTAAAAAAAAAAAAAAAAAAAAAAATTACCACAAAGATTTAATGTGCAAGTGTGTGTGTGTAAAACAGCTGAAAGAGTAAACATCAGACTTCAATTACCCTACCTTCAATAATGGTTAGAGCAATCACATTTTTAAGGGACTTAATCAATGCTATCATCTAGACCCACTGAACAAATCATTCCATGTCACAACTGTATACTACTTTTCTGGTTATACCAGGAACAGTCTATGGCAACACATATTAACCAGACCACAAAGAAATGAGTAACTTTTTAAAATCTGTCATTTTGAGACAGGGTCTCACTATGTAGCTCTGGCTGGCCTCAAACTCAGATCTGCTTGCCTCTGCCTGCTAAATGCTGGGATTAAAGGCTTCCGATACCATATATTTATTCCTATACCATATAAACTTAATATATTTTTTTAATCACATAAAATATGTTCTCGCAGGGTGTTGGTGGTGCACGCCTTTAATCCCAGCACTCGGGAGGCAGAGGCAGGCGGATCTCTGTGAGTCTGAGACCAGCCTGGTCTACAAGAGCTAGTTCCAGGACAGCCTCCAAAGCCACAGAGAAACCCTGTCTGGGGGCGGGGGGAGGGGGGAGTTCTCATAGTAACGGAATGAAACTAGAAATCAACAAAAGGCAAATCTACAGATCGTGGAATTTATCAGTGTGCTTTAGCTAGCATGTTTAGAAAAGAGATGAAACGAGAAAACGTGGAGACATGAACATTAACTTTTGAGATACAGCAAAAGCATTGTTAAGAGGGAACTAAGAGATGCAGATGCATGCCCTGAAATCCTGACTGCAGCTCAACAGCCAAATGTGTACTGTAGAGAACAAGGAAATGAAATTGTCCATCACAGGGGCTGGAGAGATGGCTCAGAGGTTAAAAGCACTGGCTGTTCTTCCAGAGGTCCTAAGTTCAATTCCCAGCAACCACATGGTGGCACACAACCATCTGTGAGATTTGGTGCCCCCTTCTGGCCGGCAGGCATACATACAGGCAGAAGAACATTGTAGACATAATAAAAATCTTAAAAAAAAAAAAAAAAAGAAAGAAAGAAAATGTCCATCACCTAGACACATGACAAGGATGCCCACTTCAATTGGAAGGTCTAGCCAGAACAATTAAATGAAAGATAGAAAAGGCATCCAAATTGGAAAAAGAAATTTTTTTCAAAGAGTAAAATAGGAGCCAGGTCATGGTGGTCACACCTTTAATCCCAGGCTAGGGCTGTTACACAGAGAAACCCTGTCTGGGGAGGGGTGGGGAAGGGATAAGCTTGGCAATGGAGGGAAAGAGGCTTGTCCACTGCAAACCATAAAGCACTGCAAAAAGATACTAATAAATGGACAGATGCCCATGCCCATGGACCGTTAAGATGCTGTACTAGTTACTCTCTGTTGCAACTTATAAAAGGAAGAGTTCGTTCTGGCTTCTGGTTCCTCAGAGAGCCATAAGAGTTGGGGAGGGATGGTGGTAGGTGCTGGGGTGGGAAACTGAGATGACATCTTTACCACAAACATAAAGCAGAGGGTGACTGGAAGTGGGATGGGGCTATGAACTCTCAAGAGTCCACACCCAATGACATACTTTGTCCAGCACAGCTGCACTTCCCATAAACTTCCCAAGTGGTACCACCAGCTGGGGACCAAGTGCTCAAACATCTGAACCAATGAGAGATGCTTCTCATTCAAACATTACAGACGCCAATACTTCTCAAGCAACCTCAAAATGGATTAAAATACCTAAGCATAAAACTTGAAATTAAAACCCTCAAGAGAAAAAGGAATAATTGTTCGTGAGAATTAAATCCTTTTGGAGCTTAGGGGTATAGTTCAGTTGTAGGATGTTTGCATGGCATGCTCAAGACACTGGTTTCAACTGGAGCACTATAATACATCAAACGACACTATCCACAAGGTCACATGACCACCACAGAACGGCAGGATTTGCAGGTCACATATTTGACAAGGAATTTATATACAGAGAACAGAACTCTTTAACAAGACTGATTTTTTAAAACCAGGCTAAGCTTCAACTCCAGTGTGCCCAGGGTCCCCTGATAAACTGGGGCTTTGGTTCCAGTGGTATCCAAGGTCCATGTGGGTGTGGGGTTCTGACTCTAAGATTCCAGGGGCCACTGCAGGATCCTGAGGATTTTGCTGTGTTCCCAGAGGTTACTTTGGGCCTTAGGCTATAACCACAGTCCCCACTTGCTTGGGTTTGAAGTTTGGTGTCCTTCCTTTAGCAGTTCAGACTCCACCTGGCTGCCTTAGTACAAGCTGTGCAGCCCCACCCCTGGTCCTCGCACGTGACTAAAACAGGAGCACCTCAGCAACTCAATTTGGCAATCAACACCAAGCTTCACCAGTCCACACAGCCGAAGCTCAGTGTATACTCCTGTAGCACAGTGGTTCTCAACCTTCCTAATGCTACAATCTTTTAATACAATTCATGTTGTAGTGATCCCAACTATAAAATTTTTTTCCTTGCTATTTCATAATTAACTTTGCTACTGTTATGAATCATAAATATCTGTGTTTTCCAATGGTCTTAGGTGACCACAGTGAAAGACATTTGACCCTAAAGGATCACAAGCCACAGGGATAACCCACAGGTTGACAACTGCTCCTTTAGGAAGGGTTTCATAAAATATCCAACAGGCTCACAAGGGGAAGTCAGAACAAATCCACTCTAACAGACATATAAAACATGACGCTACCACCTATACCAACCCACTAACTGCCCTAAGAAAAAACTAGAGATAGTTGAAATGCATGAGAAAGAATTCAGAGGTTTACTTTTTTTTTAAGGCAAATTTTTTTTAAGATTTTATTTATTTATTATGTATACAACATTCTGCTTCCATGTATATCTGCACACCAGAAGAGGGCACCAGATCTCTTAAGGGATGGTTGCGAGCCACCATGTGGTTGCTGGGAATTGAACTCAGGACCTCTGGAAGAGCAGTCAGTGCTCTTAACCTCTGAGCCATCTCTCCAGCCCCGAGGTTTACTTTTTTTAAAGAATTAATGATCATATATAAAATACACAAATCAGGAAATCTATCCAAGACTTTCACAAGGCAGTCTCCAGAGTGGACTGTAGCAGTTACTAAATTGAAGGTGAAAGTCTAAAATGTAGAGGCAAAATTCAAGGAGACTGAAACATTGAAAAACAAATATTTGAATGTCGTGTGTGATGGCACATGCCTTTAATCCCAGCATTCAGGAAGAAAAGATAGTCATCTCTTCGAATCCAAGGCCAGCCTCGTCTACAAAGCAAGTTCTGGGATAGGCAAAGGCAGGGCTACATGGAGAAGTTCCAGGATAGGCTCCAAAGCTACACAGAGAAACCCTGTCTTCAAAAACAACAACAACAACAACAACAACAACAACAACAAAATAATAGTAAGAAGAAAAAAGAATCAAAAGGGGGAAAAAGGAAATTTAAAAAAAAAAAAAAAAAAAGGACTGGCCACCATTGACAGACAAGGGAATGCATAATAACAATTCATTTTGACCAAATGGGCTCCATCCAAGAAAAGCAAAGTTAGTTCAACATAACAAAAACAAAAACAAAAAAAATCAATGATGCTAGAATGGCTCAGCATGCCTTTGTGATAAAAGTTCTGGGGACTTTAGGAATAGATGGAACATACCTCAAAATAATCAAGTCTACTACATATAACAAACAGGTATCCAACATTATGTTAAATGGAGACACACAGTATTTCCTCTAAAATCAGGATCAAGACAAGAATGCCCATTCATTCCTCTTATATGATACAGTATTGTAAGTTTTAGCTGTATCAATTAGGTAAAAGAAAGACAAAAAAGAGAAAATAGAGAACTAGGCCAGTTTAATCTCAGTAATTGGGAGGTAGAGTTGAGTAGATCGCTGAGTTCAAAGCCAGCCTGGTCTACAGAATAGTCCCAGAACAGCCAGAGAGCTACACAGAGAAACCAAAAAAAGCCAGGTATGAAGCACACCTTCAGTCCCAGCACTCAGGAGGCAGAGATTATGGATCTCTGAGTTCCAGGACATCCTAGTGTTTTACAGCTGAAACCTTGTCTCAAAAAAATAAATACATAAATAAATAAATGAAAGGCAAACCAATCCTTTATTTGTAAAGAACACAATTCTTTATATAAAAGACCCAAGAGTCTACTAGAAAACTCTTGAGCCTAATGAAAACTTCATGTTGCAGAATACAAAGTCAATGTGTGTGTATCTTTAGTGACTTTCACATACATCAACAATGTACTCTCAAAGAAAGCAACTGTGTATATACGTATATGTGTCTTTAATTACCACTATATATATCAACAACGTACTCTCATAGAAAGCAACTGGGGAAAACAATCACATTAAAAATAACTTCAAGGGCTGGTGAGATGGCTCAGAGGTTAAAAGCACCGACTGCTCTTCCAGAGGTCCTGAGTTCAATTCCCAGCAACCACATGGTGACTCACAACCATCCGTTATGAGATCTGGTGCCCTCTTCTGGTGTGCAGATATACATGGAAGCAGAATGTTGTATACATAATAAATAAATAAAATCTTTAAAAAAAAATAAATAACCTCAAGCCGGGCGGTGGTGGTGCACACCTTTAGTCCCAGCACTCTGGAGGCAGAGGCAGGCAGATCTCTGTGAGTTCAAGACCAGACTGGTCTACAGAGTGAGTTCCAGGATAGGCTCCAAAGCTACAGAGAAACCGTCAGGAAAAACCAAAAAAATAAAAATAAAAATAACTTCAAGGAGCTGGAGTGATAGCTCAAGTGGCTGAGAGCACATGCTGCTATTCCAAGGAGCAGGGTTCAATTCTCAGCATCCACATGGCAGCTCACTCCTGTTCCAGGGATTCTGATTCCCAAATACAGACATACTTGCAGACAAAACACAATGATTATAAAATAAAAAATATTACTTTTAAAAACTTATAAAAAAATAACTTCCAAGCCAGGTGCCTTTAATCCCAGCACTTGGAGGCAGAAGCAGTTGAATTTCTGTGAGTTCAAGGCCAGCCTGGTCTACAGAGTGAGTTCCAGGACAGTTAGGGCTACACAGAGAAACCCTGTCTTGAAATTTCAACAAAACAAAACTTCAAAAACAAGTATTTAGGAATGTATCAAGCCAGAGAAGAGCTCTACAACAGAAACTTGAGGACAGGGAAAAAGAAACTCCCAGAAGACACTCAGAAGGAAAGAGTGAAAATGGCTTTACTACCTGAATTAATTTACTGATTTAATGCGATACCTACCAAAATTCCAGTGCCATATTTCACAGGGTTAAGAAAAAGAAAAAAAAAAAAAAGGAAAAAAGAAGGAGAAGAAGAAGAAGAAGAAGAATTTATATGGAACAAAAGACCATGAATAGCCAAAGCAATCCTAAGAAGTAGGAACAATGCTGGCCTCAAATTATACTACAGAATTATTTTGATGGACAGACTGTCACAGGTATAAGAATAGACAAGTAGGGGCTAGAGAGTTGGCCCTGTACTTAAGAGCATGTATTGCTTATGGTAGCCAACAACCATCAGTAACTCCAGTTGCAGGGAATAAAACACCATCTTCTGAGCTCCAAGATAACCAGGTACACAAGTGGTGCACATACATACATACATACATACATACATACATACATACATACATACATACATACATTCTGAGCATGTATGCAAGCATATGCATGCATGCAAGCATAAAATTTTAAAAGTCTAAGAAAATTGTTGGGCATTTGTGGCACATACCTTTAATCCCAGCACTTGGGAGGCAGAGGCAGGTGGATCTCTGTGAGTTCAAGACCAACCTGACCTACAAGAGCAAATTCCAGGACAGCCTCCAAAATCACAGAGAAACCCTGTCTGGAAAAAACAAAAGAAAAAAAAAGTCTAAGAAAATTATAAATGTAAAAGATTTATAGGCCAATGGGATAGTAGAGGACCCAGACATAAAACTGCTGTGCTTATTCATAAATTAAAAAGGGAAAAAAAAAGGGGGGGGGGGGGGGGGGGGTCTGATTGAACAAACGGTGCTGGTAAAACTGGCTATCTACCTCAAAATAATTAAATGAGATACCTTCTACCGAACTCATGGATCCAAGTCTTTAATTTAAAACACTAGAACTTTTAAAAGAAAACATAGGGAATTCTCTTAAGACATTGGGGTAAGCAAGAATTTCTGAATAGAATACCAATTGCACAGGAACTGACCCCGAGTGTCAACAGACTGGGGTACATGGAAGTAAAAGACTTTGAGTCTGGTTAATTTCACTATGTGATGTTTACTATTCACAAGTCCTTGATAATAAATTTTAATTTAAAAAAGTTAAAAACAGAATGACTGTATGATCCAAATATTACACTTCTAGAAGCACACCCAAAATAATTAAAATCAAGAACATGACTAGGCAGTTCTATGCCCACATTTAAAGTAGTCACAACAGCAGAAAGCTGGACACAACCTAAGTGTCCATCACTGGGTGAATGATAACCAGGGCTATACAGAGAAACTCTGTTTAAAAAAAAGAATCTTCCTCTCTTCCTCCACACTATCATATTGTACCAGGTCTGCTTTCAAACCTGGTATTTTATGGGCCTTCTCTAGTCATCCTCAGCTGTTCTTAATTGCCTTTTGTTTGACCAACTTTTAACAATTATGGTCTATTCCCCTGTATAATGGTGCAAAAATCCGACAGAAGCTTCAGTATGTATACTTTCCTTGTTCTGAATCACACTCAACTGGAAAATGAACCCTCTTCCTTTCACACTGTGAATTTACAGGGCAAGGGTTACCTATATTTCACTTTTACCTTCCCAATACTGCATAGTGTTTGGGGAACATCCTAGCAGATGGGCCTGGGCTACGGTAGCTGAACAAGATAGACTAAGCAAGACAGAAAGGCAGAGATCCTCTTTTAAACAAAACACCTTTCCTAAGGTGCTTTTGAGCTTGGCCATCGCCATAGCAACAAAAAAGAAAACTAGGACAAGAAGCATTGCCTAGAACTTTTTGAAAATTATGCAAATTTATATGGCTGTCCAGTGGCAGAAATCACAGCCACACGTGGAAACTGTGGCTAGTTTAACTGAAGAACTATATTTCAAAGTCTGATATACATCTGAATAGCCATTTCTGGAACTGGAGAGAAGGTTCAGCAGTTAAGAGCACCTGTTGCTCTAACGGAGGACCTGTTTGGCAACCACATTTGGTGCCATACACTCACACAGGCATATACACATCCATTTAATTTAAAGTGTTTTTTTGTTTGTTTTTAGAGACAGGGTTTCTCTGTGTAGTCCTGACTGTCCTGGAGCTCACTCTTGTAGACCAGGCTGGCCTTGAACTCAGAGATCTGCCTGCCTCTGCCTCCCAAGTGGTGGGATTAAAGATATGGGGTCACCACACCTGGCTAACTTGAAATGATTTTAAGGGCTGGAGAGTTGGCTCAGAGATTGACAGTACTTGGGCTCAATTCAGAGCAACTACACGGCAGCTCACAACTTTCTTTAACTCCAGTTCTATAGGGTCAAACACTTTCCTCTGACCTCTGAAGGCATGCATGAGGCATACACATAAAATAAACATGCTGAATCTTTTAAATAAATTTTAAAACTCTTTCAATGGCCACTTGTGGCTAGAGGCTATCATACTGGTGTTGTTCTAAAACACTCTGGCATGTACTATCTTCTGGCTTGTTTCAGGGTATTAATCTTTCCTGTCACAAAAGACAAGAATTTGAAATACCTGGATTCAACAGAGTTAAATACTTGTTCCCAAGCCTTTCACTGTGAAAAACCATTAAATGACTCTTGGAAATTCTGAGATCTGTGCTTTCTCTGTAGCCTCTCACAGTGGCTTATCCCAAGGATTATTCCCACCCTAATGTACTAAAGTTATTCTCTATGTAAACGTTCAAAACAAAAGATTGCATAGCATCCTACCATCTTCACAATGTAGTAGGCCATAGCGTGTAAGTGTCGGCTGGAAGTCCCACTACCAACTACAAAGTAGTCTGCGTATCTCATTTCTGGAGGAACCTTGATCACACAAATGTCTCTTGCATTTTCTTGCCTCAGAAGTGAAACCAGCATATCGATGTCAAACTTGGCGCCAATGTGATCTGAAATGTAGAAGTACCTGTGTCAGATGGCCAAGGAAAAAAAAAAAAACAGACCTACAGGTATCCAGAGAAGCAGACAAGTCGCAGCTCCTCCAAGAGTGTATTTACATCCAAAATGATTTGGTGAAAAACAGGCAGGAGGGTCCCAAGTTCAAGGCTAGCCTGAGCAACTCAGTGAGACAATGTCTAAAAAAATTAAAACAAAACAAAACAAAAGCTGAGAATGTGGATCAGTGGAGGGATGCTTGCCTGGCACGTATAAGGCCCTGGATCCAATTCCCAATATCATCTGCACTCAAAACCAAGCAGCGAACCAAAACAAAAATGAGCTCAAAACTGAACCTGGGCAGCAGTTTCTTAAAGCACAGTTCAGTTTTTCCAGGCAGAATGATCAGATCACACAGACACTGAATACATTTGCTATTACCAAAGCAAATGTACCAAAGCAAGTAGCAAAGACACAACATAACAGCAAATGCAGAGACGCTACAGGCAAAGCAGTAGCACGGCTGGCAGAGACGTCAACATCATGGGGCATGTTAGATTGGATCACAGCTAGAAAGGTCACTGAACCGTAATTGCGAGGTAGGTGGGTTCTCAAGAATTATCTGGTCTACAGCCATCCACGGGTAGGAAGAAACATGGCTGTCGGGACTAGCGCTGCTGAGACCAACCAGTTAAAAGAGTTAACAGTGTAAGAGGGTCTCATTTTGAGACATGTTTTTCTTGTTAAGCAATCAGGGTTAACAACTGTTAACTTGTCTTTTTCTTTTTGTTAGCGATTTAGACAGCGTTCTAAAAACGAATGCTAGAGTGTATAAACTCGCAGTATTTTAATTTCAAAGCACCTGGGAGTTAAGTCCACCGAAGGCTCGCCCTCTCCTACTCTATCACCTCTCAGAGAGCATCTTCTTGCTGTCATTGACCTCTCTCGCGAGCTTCCGAAACCGCTGGCAGTAACTGACGGGTCTTAATCGGGCCGCAACTCCTCTCAAATCTTACACGGGCGGGAGCTCCAGGCTGCTCAGAACCCTCACGCCCCAACACACTCAAAATCCCTTTCCTACGCCCCTGGGTGGACCCTGGGGCGGGGTGCGAGCAGCCGCGTGGCGGGGCTTTGCGGACG